GTTGAAACAGCAGGCAGTATAGAGGAGGTGGCATTTGAATATGACTTTGAACAAGAGGATTCGAATAGGGGAGAGTTGGCCAAAAAAAAAAAAAAAATTCTTATTCCTATATAGGAAAAAGGCGGTGTATAAGGGACTACTAGTAGTATAACTTCACCTTGACTATGTAGGAGGAAGGGAAGGGAACTAATATTTTGGATCAGCATATATTCTATGCCAGTTACTATACATTTAGTTTCTTAATTAAACATTACAACTTTATGATCCAAGCTTCTCTCTTTCTCTCTCAGAGAGAGAGAGAGAGAGACCTATGATTTAACCCAGGGACTATCCATGCTAGGAAAGCCCTCTATCACTGAGCTACAGCTCCAGTCCCATCCTTTCATATTTTCATTAGTGCATTATAGTTATACATAATATTGGGGTTCATTTTGACATAATTGTTCAAGCATGGAATATAATTTGCTCCAATTGAGTTTCCAGTACTTCCCTTTCCTTCTTTTCCTCCCACCCTCTATTCCCTTTCCTCAATTCTGTTGGTCTTCCTTCTATTTATAGTTTTTTTAAAAAAATTAGTGCTTTATAGATATACATAAAGGTGAAATTCACTGTGGTATATTGGTAGTTTGGACAATTTCATTTTACCTTTCCTCCCATTTCCCATCCCTCCTCCCTCCCCTTCAATTCCCTTCCTCTTTTCCACTGATTTCTCTCTCCTATTTTCATAGGATTCCCCCTCACACATTTTTTACTTTTTATTTTGGTTTAGCTTCCATTCCACCTATTAGAAAAAAAATTCAACCCTAGACTTTCTGAGTCTGGCTTATTTCATTTAGCATCATGCTCTCTGATTCTATCCATTTACCGTCAAGTGCCATAATTTCATTCTTCTTAATGGCTAGATAAAATTCCGTGTGTCACATTTTCTTTTTCCATTCATCTGTTGACAGGTATCTGGGCTAATTCCATAACTTGGCTATTGTGAATTGCATTTCTGTAAACATTGATGTGGGCATATCATTAGAGTATGCTGATTTTAGTTCTTTAGGTAAATACTGAGGAGTGTAGCTGGGTCATATGGTAGTTCCATTCCTAGTTTTTTTGGGAAATCCCCATATTGCTTCCCAGAGTGGTTTTACTAATTTGTAGTCCCACCAACAATGTATGCATGTATCTCTCCCCCCACAGATAGTCTCACTCAGTTCCTCAGTCTGGCTTCAAACTTGGGATCCTCCTGCCTCAGCCTCTAAGTAGCTGGGATTACAGGTATACAGGTGTACATCACCGAACATATTTATTATTTTTTTTCTGAAGAGTCAAGACTCCTAAGTAACTTGTCTAATGTCATCTACTGTTGAAAGTGGATTTGGGTGTGTGGGGTGGTTTGTGTGAGTGTGTGTGCGCACATGTGTGCTTCCTGCTGAGAATCAAGCTAAGGTCCTTGTTTACGCAACACAAGTGCTCTATCATTGAGACACATCCCCAGCCTGAAACTGGAATTTCAATTCAGATTTGTCTTAATATTATGCTGTCAGCTTTTATCAAGGATTGATTTTAAAACTACTTTTAAACAGCCAGGTATAGTGGCACATCCTGTAATCTCAGCGGCTCGGTAGGCTGAGACAGGAGGATTCAAAGTTCAAAGTCAGCCTCAGCATCAGCTAGGGGCTAAGCAACTCAGTGAGAACCTGTCTCTAAATAAAATAAAAAATAGGGCTGAGGATGTGGCTCAGTGGTCAAGTTTTCCTAAATTCAATCCCTGGTACCAAAAACAAACAAACTACTTTTAAACAATGAGAATGTGTCCAACATGAAATTTAGCTCTAAGAATTAAGACAAATCTGACTTCACCTTCAAAAGAGGAATTCAATGAGAATGTGTATAAATTATATAAGCAATAACGTGGATCAATCTCATAAACATAACGTTGAGTGAAAAAAAATGTATAAAATAGTACATCCTATATTAAGCTTTCTATAAAATGCAAAACAGGGGCTGGGATTGTGGCTCAGGGATAGAGCGCTTGCTTAGCACATGAGAGGTGCTAGGTTCAATCCTCAGCACCACATAAAAATAAATAAAATAAAAGCATTGTGTCCAGCTACAACTAAAAAAAAAAATGCAAAACAGAAAGAACACATCTGTGTTTTGTTGAAGTTCTTAACAGCTTTTGTAGAAATTATAATAGTGATGTCTTTTATAGGAAGAAACAATGGGGTGCTCACAAGAGGGAAGCATAAGAGGAATCTAGGATACTACTGTTGTTTTCTTCTTGATCTGGGTGCTAGTAACATATATGTGCTTCTTTGTGAAAAGTAATTGAGCCATATACTTATTTGTATACTTTTTTCTATATATGCTATACTTAGCAAATTGTTAAAAGATGTTTGTATCCTATGTGAATCTGTTACTAAAGGCACATTTTAGTGCCTTTTTTTTCATAAAGATCCATATGATAAATTCCTCTTTTGAAGGTGCAGTCAGATTTGTCTTAATTCTTAGAGCTAAATTTCATATCCAGTTGTACTTTTTAAATTCTTTTTTCAGAAGCTTATGAAATATTAATAAATGAATTGAATGAATAGCCTTAGTTACTTCAATTTTTTTCTCTTTATTTTTCAAATTTTTTGGTATAAAATTTTGAGGTAGTATTTCAATTATATAGCTATTCTTGTCAAACTCCTTTTTGAAAATATTCTCTTAAATTTATTTAATTTTCATTTTCAGTCTCCATTTTAATAGTAGCCAGTAGACAAAATACACCTCCTTGTAGACAAAAACTTTTTGGTTTAAATTGTCTTTTTATTCAGAAGTTGAGGTTGTTGGAATCTCATTTTTCAAATCCTATATCTTCCATGAAATCTTTCTTCATTTCTTCTAATTCAGTAATCTCAACTTCTCTTAAGTCAAACAGTGATTTGTGCTGTTCTTAAAGCATTTATAGTTTGCTATAATATAGTATTTTTAATATTTTTTATTGCTCCCAATTGTATTTTTTATTAATGCAAAAAATTAAAGGCAAAAAATGTACTGTAAATCTGATAAACAACAGAATGCAGGTGATATTCAATAGCGTGATTTAAAAATATAATGACATCTGAGATTATACTTACTTTAGTTGACATGAATTGCATCATATATAGAAAAATTATCATCTTCAACTTAAAAAAAAAAGTAAAGGTTGAAAGATGGCACACTTTTAAAATACTTGATGGGCAAGGTAAGATATATGGTAGAAGTTGTAAACCATGTGTATGTTCTCATCACTTCAAATGTGAGGCCACATGAAAGACGGTACATCTGTTAAATTCCATAATCTGTTAATGAAAAAAAGGAGGGAAGGCTTCAACACCCCATCCCCAGTATTCTCAATATTAAAAGCATAGATGAAGTATTAGGATTTGAAATCTGATACTGCCCAGGTACTATGAGAACCTAGAGCTTAGAGATTGTTATTTTTCTGTACCTCTCCTAATATTAAGTGTATCAGTCAGTTTTCTGTCACTGTGACAAAAATCTACTTACAAGTAGGAAAGACTTATTTTGGCTTGTAGGTTGAAAGGTTTCAGTCCATGGTCAGCTGTATTCATTGTATTTAGGCCTGTGGCAAGGCAGAACATCATGGCAGGGAGCACATGGCAGATCCAAGCTCCTCAGCTCATGGTGGGGGAAGGGGCCAGGAATAAGATGTAACCTTTAAGGGAACACTCCCAAAGACCTACTTCCTCCAACTAGGCCTCATTTCCTAAGTTTCATCCATTAAATATTGTTCATTTGTCATACATTTACCATGGGTCTTTGATAGGATTAGATCCTTCATGATCCAGTCATCTTCCAAAGGTGCCACCTCTGAACCCTTTTTGCCTTGGGAATCAAGCCTTCAACACTTGAGCTTTTGGGGAACATTTCAAATTCAAACCCTAAGTATTGTGATCATAGTCCACTTGACAGATTCAGATAGTCAATCTAAATTGCCTTGTGTTTACCCTGGAGTGCTATTTCATAACTTAATGTTGCTTGTGTAATTTTCTCCATAAAGCAGAGATCTTCAATATACATTTTCATTTTTAAAATATATTTTTAGTTGATGATAGACCTTTATTTTATTTTTCTGTGGTGCTGAGAATTGAACCCGGTGCCTTACACATGCTAGACAAGTGCTCGACCACTGAACTACAACGTACCTAGCCCCATATTTTATTTTTGACAACTTTTTATTAAGATTCAATCCCAGTTGTATAACTGTGACTCTATAGTATTTACCCTATACCAGTCGTTTGGGACAGAAGAAATATACAGAACAAAAACATTCTAAGCTAAATATTTTTTTTAACACTTTGAGGAACTACTGTTTGCTACAAGAAAATGAACAGAGTTTTTTTTTTCTTTTATGAAGAAGAACATACAGATATGATTGTGGAATTAAATGTGGAGATACTCTAGATTGCTTTGAATAAGTTTCTCGTATTCCAGTGACCCTGGGTTCATTTCCCACCCTATCTTTCTTTCTGTTTTTCTTTTATAAAAAATTCTTTCCTACCAGTATCAGGAATTGATCCATCTTGACATAGCCCTTCTCTTTTAGGCCCCTTAAATACTACTAGTCTTAAAGGGAATATGTATGGAATGGGATTTGTGGGAATGGCTGTCAGTAAATAGCAATGTACTATTTGCCTCTTTATGTATGTGCGGTATTTTTGTTTTAAAGATCCAGTGATTTACTTCTAGGTGTTTGATTTTTTTTTATGTAGGGGCATTTTTGTTGTTATTATATATTAGAGAAGACTGTGGGTTCTTCTTTAGTGTGTGAATCTTGCAATTGCTGTAGTAACTTGAAGTAATCATCTTGACTATGTCATTATAATAAAGTCTTGTTTCCTGGGAGGAAATTGAGAGCATCCTCTTTTTATTTTGTGTATCTTTGTTTACCATATCAGTATCATGTAACAATAATTATGTTACAACAATTTTGTGAGATGTTTATTATTCTCATTTTACAGATGAGGAAACTGAGGCTTGGTGAAGTTATGAAACTTGTCCAAAGTTACACAGCTTGTAAAGGGCACAGCCAAGATTCAGAGCCAGGTCTGTCCAGCTTCAAAACTATTCATCATAGCCATGACACTTTGAAATAGCTGTGAAGTATCAACTTATGATAAATTGTTTTAGTATTATATTGCCTGTTACTTAACTCTTAACAACTAATTTTTAATGGGAAGTTTTTTTTTTGTCCTTCATAATTTCCTTTATCATTTTAAATATATTGTGAAAAGCAGCATAATGTAGTAACTAAGGGTTTGGGCTCTGGAGACAGACTACCTGGGTATGAATCTCCAAGATTTTCCACTTATTATGTGATATTGGAAAAGTAATTTAACTTTTTGTACCTCAGTTTTCCTATCTGTAAAATGATGACAGGGTACCTGATAGGATTGTTGTGAAAATGACATGGTTTAATATGAATCAGCACTTATAGAGGAGTGCCTGGTGCATAGCAGTCATTCAATGAATGTCAACTATAAGTATTGTCATCTTTGGGTAACTCTAAAGCAAATGATTATTATTTATAATTCCTTTAGGAAATTTAGGTAGAGCAAAGTTTAGGCAACAATGTAGAATATCACAAAAATTATAAACCAAAATTAAAATTAGATCTAAAGAAAATCACTCATTTTGTCAAGTTTAGATCGGTTGTAAAGCAAATTGGATACCTGCTTATAGGTTTTACATATACAAGAGTCAAACATATATAAAGACCAAACATAAGTCCACTAGAGACACTTTTTGAGCCTAATAGACTCATTGTATTATTAATGCATTTTGCCTGTTTTCCCCTGAGAGTACAATTTCAGAGTAAATTTCTACATTTTCAGGTGACTTTTAAGGAGATGATGTTTTAACATGTTGACAGATCATTACTAAGAATCAAACCTTATATGTTCTGTAAAATGTTGGCAACATTCCATCACTGGTGGGAGTGGTTATCCGAATTTATGGTATAGTGAATGTGCATGACTGACCTTTGAACCAGTAGAACCACAGTCATTCAACTAGAACCCATCCATACTTGTTTGTTGCAGTTGTCAGAATTTTAAAGTGCTGTTTCAACTGTTACTACAAATTAATTAAAATGCCTATGACTAGTGATTATTGTACCTATGATTAGTTGCTGAACTATCCTGAATGGGAGGTAATTTGAGTCAAATTTGCAAAAATTCGCAAGCTATTAAAGAATGGGATTTGTCTTTTATATGTGTATGATCTCTAGCTTTTAATCTATGCATACATTTAATTTATTCCCTTATTTTATGGCATTAAACCTTATTGTTCTTGATCATAGTATATCTTTCTCATTATTTAGATATTTTAAGATTTAAGATTACCTTTCAGTAATCTTAAATTTAATTATTAGTTATCTTATTGTTAATGTTGTATATATTTTTTCTTTACAATTTCTATTTGCTCATATAAGCTTTTTTAAAAAATTGAAAAGGTTTATGCTCAGTCATCTTCCTAAATTGTTTATTCTAATAATTGATCTATGAATGGTTTTGGGTTTTCTATGTAGTCAATTAAACTATTGTGAATGAAAATTCTTTCTAGTGCTTATGCATTTAATTTTTTTCTTGTCTTCCTGCACTAGTTAGGACTTCTAATAACTCAGTACAACTTTTAATAGTTGGGATCTTTATGTTGCTCTTAATTTTTTTTAAAGGAAATGTGTCTTAGGTTTCACCATTAACAATAGTGTTACAGAGCTAGGTATGATGACATGCACCTGTAGTCCCAATATTCAGGAGGCTGAGGCATGAGAATCACTTGGGCCCATGAGTTTGAGACCAGCTTAGAAAACAGAAACTATCTATCTACCCATCCACCCATATGTCTGTCTCTCATTCACAAACACGTGCGTGCTTGCACACGTGCGCGTACACACACACACACACAGTATTGAACCTGGGGCCTTATGCATGCCAAGCACATACTCTGTAGTTGAGCTACACCCCAGTCACATCCTGTAGATTTTTTTAAAAATTATACCCTTTAAAGACATTTCTATTCCTAGTTGGCTAAGATATTTTTTGTGTGTGAAGAATGAGTATTGAATTTCATTAGATGCCTTTTGTGCGTTTGAGATGATCATGTGGTTTTCCTCCTTTCTTCTGTTAATGTGGTAAATGGTATTTATAATTTTCTAATGTTAAATTACTGTTGTATCACTGGAATAAACCCATCTGTGTCATGATAGTGTTTTTCATATACAATTGGATTTGGTCTTTTAATCATTTGTATGAGATTTTTACATCTATGTTCAGAGGTGAAATTAGCCCATAATTTTTGTTTCTTATATTGTCCTTATGTAGTTTAGATATCCAGACCAGATTATGCCAACTTCACAGATTGAGTTGGGGACTATCTTCCCCACCTTTAAAGGATTTATGTAAGACTGGAATGATCTGTTTCTTAAAAGTTTGGTTATACTTCTACTCAACTTCCTGGGCTTAGTATTTGGGGTGTGGGGTAGGGTTAATATTTTTAGAGGGGGGGAAGAGGCTATGTTAAATTTTCTAAATGGTTTTACTGAGGGTCAGTTTTTAGAAAGTTTCTCTTTTTCAGGAATTCACTTATTTTGTCTGAGATTTTCAAGTATTTGGCATAAAGTTAATCAAAGAATTTTATTACTGTTAAATTTTTTCTTTAAAAAATTTTGCTGTTTATATATTTCTGTCTTTGACTCCTAAAATTTGTTTTGCACCTTCTTTTTTTCTTCATCTTTCTTGCTGGAGGATATATGGTTTTAGCTTTTCCGAAGAATCAGTGCTTGATTTTGGTTTTCTGTATTTTATGTTTTCTATTTAATTAATTTCTGGCCTTTCTACTTTATATACATTTTTATAGTAACAAGCAGAATTTAAAATAAGGACACAGAGATATCTGTAACTTCCCAAGGACAGAATGTTATTAGGTTCCAGGAATAGCTTGAACCAGGGGTCTAAAATGCTTTTAGGAACTTGCCTCATTCTTTCTTTTATAGATCTGCTTTATAGGTCTTTCTCCCTTTCTGTCAATTGACTTTCTGCTCTTCAGTCTATGGGGTAGAAAACAATGATCACAAGCCTCTGAATTTGATGTCAATTCTAAACTGGTGTTTTGATTACTCTTAGTATCTTAGATTTTTCTGTTTTGATTACTTTCTTCCTGAATATTTTTTTTTCTTAAAGGTGTGTGTGTGTGTGTGTGTGTGTGTGTGTGTGTGTGTGTGTGAGAGAGAGAGAGAGAGAGAGAGAGAGAGAGAGAGACAGACTAGAGAGACAGACTTTCTCTTTACTGGGAATCAAACCCAGGGCCTCAGGCATAGTAGATAAGCACTGTACCATCAAGCTGTATCCCTAGCCCTAGAGGTCTCTTAATGAGATTTTCTGTAGTAAACTCTTTTTTTAAAATATTTATTTTTTAGTTGTAGTTGTACACATTACCCTTATTTTACTTATTTATTTTTATGTGGTACTGAGGAACGAACCCAGGGCCTCACACGGACTAGGCAAGCTCTCTACCACTGAGCCACAACCCTAGCCCTCTGTAGTAAACTCTTAAAGTTTTGTATCTGAAAGTAGTTTTATCACCCTCATTCTTGATAGATATTTAATTATATATAGAATATGAATTGGCAATATTTTGTATCCCCCTGAATAATTCCACACTTTTTCTGGTTTTAATTGTTACTATAGACAAATTAGCTGTCCAATCAGTTGTTCTTTCAGGCCTGTCCTTTTTGTGTCCGGTTGCTTATGGAGGCCTCTGTGTGTTTTGGTTTTCTATGTTTCATAAACTGTGTGTAGATATGGCGTGCTGTTTGGTTTTTACCCTGTATGAGATTATGATTATAAACTTCTTATTTTCTCTGCAAGAAGTCTTTGTGGGTATTCTTGGGGGCTCAAGATGGAAATGTATTACATCAAGATGATTTGCCTTTGTTTTTTCCAGGTGCCTCAAAGTACTTTGGTGAAACTTTAAATTTATTCCTTGAAGCATTTTAGACTACCAAGTGAAGTATATTCGGGTTGCAAATATGTACATGGACTTGCTTATGTTTACAATCTCTTAGAAATCTTTCTTCTGTTCAGCAACAAGAAGGCAACTTTCCTTGTAGTCCTTTAGTTAGGTGTGGGGTTGGGATAGAATGGTTCACTCTTTTCCTGTGGATGAAACTTTTGGGTGGGGGGAAGCAGTAAGGTTCCAGCTTTATGTGGAAGGAATCTTTATGTGGAAAGATTGCCCATGGTAGGTGGGCCATGAACTTTTGACCTCTGTTCTTTCCCAAGAGACCATCAAAACTAAACTCATGTTTGTTAGAAGTCATCACGGAAAAATCAGTTTCATATGCCACGTGTCTCTTTGAGTTTCTGCTTTTTCATGGATTTTGGTCTGGTAATTCCTTTATCGTACTGTCAGCTCTTCAATGTATTTAAGATATTTTTGAAATAAAATTTTATTCATTTTTTGTTTTCAGTGAGAAAACTGTTAAAACAGTCTAATATGTTACTGGAAGTGTATTTACTTCTAATTTTTGTATCTTTAGTTTCTATGATTCCTTAAGATAGAAGTTTATCAATTATTGACCTTCTTTTGTGTGTGTGTGTGTGTGTGTGTGTGTGTGTGTATGCATGTGTGTGCGCTGGGGATTGAACCCTGCATGCACTCTACCACTGAGCTATACCCACAGCCCTTATCCCTTATGTTCTAATATATTTGGCACTGTTAAAAGTAGCGCGCGCGCTCTCTCTCTCTCTCTCTCTCTCTCTCTCTCTCTCTCTCTCATACACACACACACACACACACACACACACACACACACACACACACACACAAAAAAACAAACAAACAACAAATAAAAGCAGCTTGCCAGGCACTATAGTGCATGCCTATAATTCCATTGGCTCTGGAGGCTGAGACAGGAGGTTCACAAGTTCAAAGCCAGCCTCAGCAACTTAGCAAGGCCTTAATAACTCAGTTAGACCCTGTCTCTAAATGAAATAGAAAAAAGGGTTGGGACATGGCTCAGTGGTTAAGTGCCCCTGGGTTCA